AAAGCAGTACTCGGAGAACTATATGCACATTAAGTTTCAATCTTATGCGTTTGCCCTTTTCGCTAGTGCAAAAATATTTTTGAAAGAGCCGACCCACCCAAAAGCTATACATAGCATTAGATATGCATTAGATATGAATTGAAGTTTTCATAACCTCAATATCACATTAATTATGCGCATGTCAAGTTCCACTTTCCTATTGCAGACAAATTCGCCAAAACAAAACTAATAATTGAAAACGTCACCCCTAAAAAATGGCCCCAGGAGGTACATTTGAAATTCAACATTTTTTCCTGACCTCAGTGTCTCAATCTACACGTTTATGTGGAATTTCAACTTTCCATTTCACTCCGTTTTACTGAAGCAAAACTATTTTGAAAACATTTCATCCCCCAAAATGTGTACGCTTCAGGGACAACGTTGAATCAATGTTGGTTCAATGTCATATGCTACTAGGGTATGGACCTGAATAGCCCAGATGTGATTTTTTTAGAGCGTATCGTTGGTGTCTTCCAGAAGAGGAAAGAAAAGGAACGTCTTCCACTTACCTCTGTCGTAATAGGAATATTGACCAAGATCACCATAGTCCAGGAGGGTGGTGAGTTGGTTGTTTGGTGAATTACTAATCCACGCCTGGCACTGGAATCCCTTCTTAGTGATGTTTTCCGTACCAATATAAGTTGTACCTTCCTCGTCCTGTTTGCACTCGCGTGGGGCTGTCAAGCATGAAAGTACAGCAGGGAATAACTCTCAGAAGGAGTGCAAAACGGCACGACAGGCTCAAACGGATGTGCTAAGAATTACTTTGTTCAACGCTTTTGTATTTCATTTTTTCAGGAGCTAAATATCTGGTATTTCCTACTTCCATATGGCCGGGGACTGGGACGCATGTGAAGGTATTGTCTATTCCGCCGTAAAAAAAAAACACACTCGCGGCTTTGATTTGACAGGGAAGCCTGACTATTCCAAAGGATCTCTCACAGCTGACTGAGAAGTGCTGTCCTTCATCTGACAACACTGAAGCGTGTCGTAATCCTTTAGCCCCCAATGTCCCACCGGAGGCCGGATCTACACATCTCTCTTTGACTTGTTACCTTTCACCGCTTCATCCATCAAATCTTTTGTCCTCAACCAAGTCTGTCTTTTGCGGGCGAATAGACTATAAACATGGTGAGATCCTGGTGGAGACGACAGGGGTGGTAGAGTGCAAGACCCTAGCGAAGCTACTAACTTAGATATGGGAGGAAGTCCCATGGCCATAGCCACGAGTGTTTTGTCAAGGAAAGGCTAGTGCAGCTGTTGGCTAATTAGTTTCTTTTTTAAAAATAGTTTAGTAGGTTTTTCTGGGGCAGTGAACTTTATGTCCACCTAGTATAGAAGTATGCAGAATGTAGGTTCTTGGCAACTTTACTTTAGCGCCTGATAGTGTTCTGTTTTTAAATAATTCCTTTTACACTTACAGTTTATCTGAAGTCATCCAAGGACAGGTGCCCCAAATGAGCAAATATGCTTTCAGACTTTAGAGGGAGTGAGTTAACGAGGTGATGTGTGAGGAAAAGACAGCTGCGGGAGGAGGGGAGGGGCTTTGGCCCAGTCGATGCAAAGTCAGGGGATGGATGGATTGGAAATTCACCCGAGGCATTCCATAATTTTCAAGACTGAATGCAACGTAAATGAGCAATGCAAACGGCATAGTAGAATTGACTGCATAGGCACATATGACGTTCAAGAAACGATACAGGAACATTGCTGCAAAGTAACAGCGCCGTCCATGGAACAACACAATGTCTCAAAAAAGTTCGTTGTCGGGACGCTACGGAACAATGTGGCAGAAACGTTGAAATGCGTCACTCCTTTGAAAAATAACCGTATTACAATATTTTACTTCATTGCCTTGGTTAAGTTGGATTTTTTTTTTTAAAATGAAGTGGAGCTTGTGAACAAGATATATAGTTTGTACAAGAATTATCAGAATCCAAGTCTTACTCTGCATTAAACTGGAATCTATCATGAGAAGCGGTTTAGAAAGTTTCTATGATGCCTCAGTTGCGCGTGTCGAAGAGACTTCAGTTAACGAAAGACGGAACGTAGAGAATGACAATGAATTGCAGTAAATTAACTTGAGAAAAATACTCACTGACGCAATTTCCTGCCACTTTAATCTCGCACGGTCTCCCGTCTACTTGGGAGCAAAAGGGAACATCGCAATACTCCCATTCAGGTCCGTTTTCAGTGTCAGAGAAACACCATGGGCCGTGGCGATTTTCATCGTAATTGCGACAGAACCGGTGGCTGCCATCAAGTTCGTCTGAAATTACGTATTGATATACTTGGGCTTGAAAAAGTTTGGGGCCTATCATCGTCAGCCAAGGCTTGCAAGGGTAGCCAGACATCGTCACGTCCAGCTTTCCCATGTATTCCATTCCATGACGGCTCAGCTTGCATTCCGGTGGGTCTAGAAGACAACGACACGATTGAGTCTCAGTGAAACGTCTCATACTTCAGTCATACGCGTCTTGGGACGTACTGGGGTCGTCGCAGAAGGGGATCTCACAGTACTCCCACACTGTCTTGGGGTCGGAGACAAAGCACCACGGCCTGTCATAATGCTGGAAATTCCGGCAGTGATTTTCTGCAGATTTCGAGCTTCGAAAAAAAGCATGTATAGAAACTCCAAATGAGAAGACTTCCTGATAATATTGCCATTGCTCTCCCCATTGCAGGCAATCATGCCCAATCTCGGTTTTGTTCTGGCTTCCCACGTACTCGATCCCCTTCTCCGACAATCGGCATTCAGGATATTTGCCCCCCTTGGTTCCAACATCAACTCGTCGTTCGCAGAAGCGGATATCGCAGTATTCCCAAGTTGTATAGCTTTCCCCATCGACAATACACCAGGGACCAAACTGGCAATTAAATTTGCTCCACTGTGAACAAGAATTTTAAAAATTAATTCTTTGGAAAATTTTTGTTTCAAAAAATTAAAAAATTGTATACTACAATGGGCACATGAATATCGACCCATCAATATCGAAATTCTGCTTCATAATTTCCGTAGGGGACCTCGAGAAAGGGCCTTGGACCCGATTACTGGGTCACTCGGGTCACGCCCAGGGCCAAAATTAAGGTTAAATGTCAAGATTTACATGCCTCTCTTTGAAAGTCTGGATCTTCCCAGCCGCTGGGAGTAGAGGTGTCAAATTCATGCGATTCTCTTCGGGACATACTGTACCATGCTGAATGGAAAAAATGAATGCATACATATGAATGTCGTTGTCGAGACGCCATGGCGCCATAACTGAGAATTTCTCCATCGCAGATTCCCGTTTTTCCCAGCTCATTCCTCGTAGAAATATTCTATCGACAAACGCAAGCTCCACTTTTTGGAGACTATCCTGGTCCATCTTTTTCTGGAGTTGAGCATAGTTTCTTCTAGTACTTTCTCCTTCAAGTTCGACTATCCACATGGAAATGCCACTTTTTTGGAAATAACGTGCGGTTGACAGACATACCTCGAGAATGAGGCCGAATTAAAAAAATTCCTAAGATAAATCTCTTGAGGAGTCTCTCAACAAACTTCTTGTCGATTTTCATGAGAATCCGTTCGCTTCCTTTGAAGCCTATAGCTTTTTGCTGTGGCCTTTGTTGAAAATGGAGGTCATTTCTGACATCCCAAGTCGACTTCCTCTGTTCATCGGTTGCAAACACAGGATTACTTGTGCCAATAGTATAGAGGGATGTTTCAGGGATAAAATGACACCAAGATGAATTACTGTCTGCAGGGGAATAGGGAACGCAGGACTTTTATTACCGATTTGCCCATAGTTATTGATTTTTCTTGACCCCCAAGGCCCTCTAATTTTTTCTTTCTTTTCTTACTCGTATAAATATATAGACTGTCGTCACTGACTGAATGACTGACGCTAATTCTAACCATGTTCTAGAGAAGGTAGAAATCTGAAATTTGTTGCACGTGAACCTTTTTGGATGCAGAGTTCTGAAAAATCAGACTTTGTAATTACATGCCCTGGGGGCACAAATTTCAGGGGGAGATGTTTTCAAATATTTTATTTTTGCTTCAGTCAAACGGATAAGCAGGTAACGCTGAAACGCGACATGGACGTACCTACTGAGACTCTGAGTTCAGGGAAAATGTCAAGTCTTGCATGCATGCCCTGTGGGCATATTTTTCGGAGGTGACGTTTTCAAATATTTTTTTGTCCACTGAATTGTGCAGATATAGAAATATGAAACTTGCCACACCAATAACTGGAGTGATGGTGAGTTTAGAAAAAAAATTCCCGTTTTTTGGTGCCTACCCCTAAGGCACAGCTTGTGCCTTCATCGGTTTTTCGAAATATATGTTTGCACCAGCAAAAAGAGCAAACGGATGAGAATGAAACTTGGCATGCACGTTGTTCTCCATATACTTATTTCAGGGAAATTGTTAATTTTTAGGTAAAGCCCCTAAAGGCATATTTTTTTTGCAAAAGATACATTTTCCGGAAACTTTCCTGATTCAACGGAGGAGAGAACTAAAAAAAAATTGAAACTTGGAGAAGTACCTGTTCCGTTTCCAAGTGAATATCATATTTTTCAAATAATACCCCTCAGGATAGATCGTGAGAAGATTTGAATTCAGGCACACAATAAATAATTGGTGTAATATTTTCGATAGAAAGATTAGTACGTTCTCTCTCGGCACACATTTCCACAGGCACATTCATTTGATACGTTTTTGCCACTTTGAAAAACAATTAATGAATAAATCACTAACCTGGACAATGGAGCGCCTAAGGCTCTACCATAGTTACCGTTAGTTTATAATAAAATTCTCTCCTTTGGATTCCCCCTCCTGAGGTTCCTCTTGACGCGTCGCCGCTCTCCACCTCACACCCCGTATTCCCTCTTCTGAAGGCAATTTGAATGAAAACACGGGTTCGGATAATTGTCTGCAGGCACTGTTGTTAATTCATGGGGCATTACAATGCAGACGGAATACAAAAGAAGTCACACGCTTAATGAAAATTTGAACTTTAAATGAAAAAAATTAACAATGAAACGGAGACATAAGAATTCATAAGGAATCCAGATTATTCAAAGCAATGTGCACAGCTCAAATGATCAAAATGCGTACAAATTCATAGACAGAAGCCCTTTAAAAAAAACTTCCCGGCGATTGGCACGTAATTTACATGGAAATTCCCGGTCACGTTAGCAGTTTACAGGCTTTTGACAACCTATTGCGGAAATGACAGGAATTTTATACTTAGAACTATTCGCTCTTCCTCTGGAAGGAGGGAAACAGCAGAAGACTGCTACGTAAATTGCATGGAAATGGCAGAGGATATGGATTTGGCATGGGAATGACAGGCTAGGGCCAAGTAAGATAATGTGCGCGGCAGTAGGGTGGGAGTCGATGACCCTGAAATGTTGAGGTTCAAAGTCGGTCCATCATGGCTGCCACCTATCGAGTGCGCGTATCTTCCTTGGTGCAGTCTCATCCTCCAAAATGTTCATGCCCAATCTGACAGTAAATTAGGGTTACGGCTGCCTACTATGTTATAAGATTGTGCATATATGAATAGGTGACCAACCCTTAGTCTGAGCCTCGGTCTATGGCAGGCAATGCACACCTCCATCTCACATCTAATCTTAAGCCTTCATGGTCATATCACAGGCCTAGGCCTATGTCATTCATCTCCCTAGTCCCATCAGTATACTTAAGTTTCAGACTCGTGCTAGGCTCGGCGTGCCTTAAAATTCTGCAGGACTCCATCTGCTTCCTTTGAATGGGGAGTGTCTACTCACTCAAACCACTCTCACTCAATAGAAATACAGTACCTTGTATATTCAAAGGTAGATTTCCTTTCTTCCAGAGTTCAAAGCAGCACCTTCTCTTATCAGAATCATAACTGTACCATATTATCCCTTCAAGCTTGACCCAAACCAGACCTATGTAATTCCGCGGAATATTCTCTTCTTCCAGAGAGAGATTTGGAATCGCATGACTGATCTGCAAATGCCAAGGTGATTCCGAGATCGCTATGTAATGTACACATAAAAATTTCACGGGTGAATTCCACCACATGATAATATTTTTTTTGTAAGGGAGGGCTATCAATATTTGTTGCCCTCAATATTTCCCAAATAAAAGAGGCACATTTCCATATATTTTGAATCAGAGAGATATGAACAAGGACCTAATTGGGATGTGGAATTAGTTCCACCCTTTGGACCGAGTACCTTCAGAACAACGATAATTCAGAATGGGCCAAAAAGACCGCACAGAATTTCGTACAATGTGAGATCCTTCTTTCCCTCTCTCTACCCTTTTTTTCCTGTCTAGACATCTCTTCCCGTGCATGGGAGACGCGAGGCGCCAGTACACTTCTGTAGCACTATTTCCTTTAAGTAAATAAAAAATTCCCTGCTCACCGCCTTCTTCCCAATCCATTTCTTTCCAACCCGCCCTCCACTTGAAAGCATTCGACATTCACATCTGACACAAATTTCCACATGCGAGGCATCCAAAATCTCTAATGAGTTGGGATGGCAACTCTTCCGGTTTCGCGCCCCGATTGAGTAAAAAGTCGGAAAATAAGCTAGACATATTTTTTTCGGGCGGCATTTTTATCTCATTCATTCCAGTACAAAGAGGGTATTGGTCGACGACTATCCCTTTCTGCGAAAGCTTTTATAAAATACTAGCGAGTTTGTTTGCCCTTCGGGCAAACAAACTCCCTGTGGTCGCGCCTCCGGCGCTCCATTACCTTGGATTGTGAATAATTCATTAATTTCTTTGCGAAATGGAAAACAAATCCCCATTGAAATACGTGACATATGGCGACGAAAGTCTTGCTTTTTATCTAAGTCAATACCTCTGTGATTTCTAGTGTGCCTAACTTGAAATCTTTTCATGTGTCCCATTTTGTAAGAGTGGAGAATACATTTTGAAATACTTCCCTTTTATAATCTATGCTAATGGGACATATTTGAAATGTAAGATTTTTCCTGTACTCAGCCATCAAATAGGTACTTCTGAGGGAATTTAAATTTTGTCTCTGTTTCGTTGGAACAAAAAATTCAGGAAAATGGGACATAAAATAAGTGCCCTGATGGGTTTTAACGGGTAATTTTTTTTTCTTCTGAAATGTATTCTCAGGGAACTCCATGCCCCTCCCCCCCCCCCAGTTTCAGCCTTATACATTTCCCCTTTTTACTGGCGGTAAAAAATGTATTTGGAAAAGCGACCCACCCAAAAACTGTGCTCTGAGGAGACGCACAACAAAAGTTGAATTTTTCCTTAAATCAGCATGGCGTCTGTTAGGCGTGCGCCAGCTGATGCTTTCTTATTTCTGCCCGATTCGAAAGGATTTTAAAAATTCTTTGAAAATATAACGTCCCCAATAATTACCCCCCCCCACACAAAGTCCAATATTTTGGAAATTTGATATTTTTCCAGAGCTCAGTGCGTCAGCAGTCACGTTCTAGCCATGATTAATCTTCTCATATGTCTCCGTTTGATTAAGCAAAGAGAACTATTTGAAAATATGTTCCCCGAAATGGTGTGCCCGTACGGTATGTATCACCAAAGTATAATTTTTTCTTTACTCAGCTATCCATTAGGTTCCTAAACGTTGGCAAGTTTAAACTTTCTAGCGCCCACTATATTGCTGGATCGAGAAAATATGCCTTTTGCAATATATGTGCCGTAGGACGTTTTAACCGAAAAGTGCCTTTTTTACGGAAATCAATCCTCAGAGAACTAGATGCTCACAAAGTTTCAACGTTATACGTTTGACCTTTTCGTTGGTGAAAAAACACGTTTGGAAAAGCCGACCCACCCAATAGCTATGCCAGGAGGGGATGCACCATGAAAGCTGAATACTCCTTCAACTCAATAATAATGTCATCTCATTTATACGTGTGCCAAGTTTCACCTTTCCATTGCTGTCCAATTCGCCAAGGCAAATTTTTTTTAAACATCGTTCTTCGAAAAAATTCCCCAGGGGATGTATCGAGACTTAATATTTTACGATAATTCCTCGTCTCAGAAGTCACATTCATGCAAAGTTTCAGCATTCCATTTTCATCAGTTTAACTAATGCAAAATATTTATTTGAAAACATCGCTCTTTGAAATTTATGGCCTTTGAAATTTGATTGGCAGGCGTGGTAACGTTCCTGTATTCATAATAATTCCCTTTCCTTTCCCTCAGCCCTTCGTCAGTTGACCTTTGACATGTAAGAGAGTTTTCAGGTCTGACATTTTGAAAGTTTCATTTTTTCCGGTAAATTTATCATCTTTTTTTTGGCGAAGAAAACAACGATCAAACCAGGGAGCAGTCCATTCTTCTCGTGAAGACCTTTTAAAGCTCGGCGAAGAAATGGATTGAGCATGGAGTACCTCGGGTACTGAATGTGGGATGTGCGTTACTGGTGGTGACTGGTACTGTGGAAGACAAACATTGTCGGAAATTTATTTTGTCTGCCATTCCCAGACCACGAGTCGGCCTAAGCAATGTTCGATGAGCTTCAAGGCTTCTTGTAGGAAAAGGAAATTTCTTTTAGAATTTGGTCGGATTCTGCACCGATGGAGCTCCTACATTGGCCAGGCACGAAGGTGGTTTGTAAGCCTTAGTGAAGAATATGGCCCAAGCCACCTCTAAGTGTGAATCCAATGTTTAATTCACCGAAGCAACTGGCAGCCAAATCCCTTAATCCTGAGTTGAATGCAGGGCTACAGACCGTTGTCTCAGCGTTGAACTACATCATGATGCAGTCTCTCCGCTCTTGCCTGTCAGGAGATGGAATCCGAGCATGATGTTCTGTTGTACCACACAGAGGTACGCTGGCTCTCCGGGGGAAAGCATTTCAGCGCTTCTTTGAGCTCCGTGAAGAAGCACTTCCCTGTTTCACTTCCTGTTTCCCGTCTTTTCCCTGAAGCTGATTGAGGTGAACACTGGTCTGCAGGGTATCCACATGCTTATGATGAAAGAACGCATGAATGGATTTGAAAATAAAAAAGGTTTTTGGAAGACATGCCTAGACTCAAAGGAGTTCTAAGACTTTCCAACTCTCCCTTGAATTTTTACTGAGAACAGCATCATTCAGTCACCGGCGAAAGTCATTGTTACCAATCTCAGTCGTCTGCAAGATCGTTTTCGCTCTTTCTTCCCAGACCTCCACTCATCGAAGCTTGACTAGATTCGAAACCCGTTTCAGTGTCGTCCCGAAGAGGCAGATTGACCAGGAGGAGAAGTAAAACAGCTTGTCGAACTTTCCACAGACAGAAGTCTTCTGACTTCGTTTTCTCATCTTTCGATTGCTGATTTCTTGCTCCGTGTCAGGGTGTAGTGAAAAGAACTGTCCAGTAGCGCAATCAAGTGACGTACCTTTTGCCACATAGTACTTGTGTGAAGCGGATTTCAGTGCCGTGGTGGCCATCAAGTCCCGATATCGTTCGTCCCTGGGCCTTCCAAAAGGAGGGCAATGCTTTTGTGGATAGCAAATTTATACTAGGAATGAGCGAGGAAAAACGGGAATCTGCGAAGGAAAAATGCTCAGTGATGGCGTCCCGATCACGATAGTCCTATGCATGCATTATTTTTCCACTTTAGCGCAGTATGTTCCAAAGAGAATGGTATGCATTAGACGTTTCTATGACCAAGGGCTGGAAAAGTGCAGATTTTTAAAGAGAGGTTTGTAAATCTTTGACCTTGAATTTTGGCACCGAACGTGACCCGAGTGAGCCAGCAATCGGGTCCAAGGCCCTTTCTTAGACGTTTCTATGACCAAGGGCTGGAAAGGTGCAGATTTTTAAAGAGAGGTTTGTAAATCTTTGACCTTGAATTTTGGCACCGAACGTGACCCGAGTGAGCCAGCAATCGGGTCCAAGGCCCTTTCTAGAGGTCTCTTACAACAATCATGCAGTTGAATTTCGATCCGGGGGGCCAAAATTTATGTTTCCATAGTATTTTTAGCGCAGAAAAAACGGTGATGAAAGGTAATACATTTAGCGCACCATTTGTATGAATATTTACAGATATTCATATTCAACTAAGGGGATCTGGAGCATAATTAACTTGGAATTGCACTATTTTCTGAAACTCTTGTTGGTGTGCGCATCGATGAAATGTAGCACTTTTTGTATTCAAAACAGCAAACGATTTAATTCAGGGGTAGTACCTGAATCCAGGGAATATTTATGGAAACTTCATGAGTTACATGCTCCCTCATAATTTTTTCCTTAATTGCGGCACTGAAAACAAAACAAGCTTCCTTTCCTTGCGATACATTTTCTCAAAAACAGCGTCACTTATCATACGAGATGAAGTTCCTATGTTTCTGTAATATTTCGACCCTTCCCAACTCCTAGGAGTGTCGCCTTTAGTTGCGCTCTCTACTGCGCGCTACAAGTGCCATCTCTCCATTTAACCGCCCCAAATGTACACGGGAGCTCGAGCTTACTGATTTCATTTTGCCTATTTTCTTGAGACTCCTTGAACCGGGTTCTCTTCAAAGACCGATTCGTTTAAGAATTCGAATATCTTCCCCTTGGATTTATGTGGAGAAAGATCGACTACCGTGTTGATGTTATTAGGGACTAATTATAACTGTATCAGCAATTGACCCACTATAACGAATACTTCGGCGTCATCTTGCGTCCGTTGTGCGAATCCTCGCAGTGAGCTGTACAATCGTTCTGTTGTGAGTACCACGGAGACGCTCGTCTCCTCGTTCATCGGAGAGGTGGCGAGACCAGTGCGAATTTGCGATTTTCCGTGAAACTTGTCTCAACACCCTTACGTGTAGCCAATTTGCAAATTTCATATCAAAACGGTACATCCGCGGATGATAACGATTCTTGTCGAAAACTCCTAGTTCAAATCCCGAAGCTTTTGGTTAGTGGAGCTGTCGCACACAAACACATTTGTATTTCAATCTAGCTTGCGGTCAGGATCATAACCGCAATATCTTTAGTCTCGCACTTCGGCTGTTTCGCAACCGAGGTCTTCCGGTTTGAAAAGTTGCTAACTATTGACCAAAATTCAAGGTGCTCTTATAAGGAAAGACGGATTAGATGCGCGCATTCATGCCCTTCTGGTAATATTTTCTGTATCACCAGTGAATATCCAATAGTTAATAGTTATGTACTAGAATAGTTTAATGTATTCTAAAACGGTCTTGCAACATGGCCGCATCAGTTCCACAAAATTTCCGCATGCTTTCAATAAACTCGATAGTGCTTCAAATCGACTTGCTGATTTCTCAAGTCAATTGCAATCATCAGCATTTTTTGCCAATTGCACGTATTTTGAAGGAACAATCCTCATTCCATTCAACGAACGCAATATTACATTATTTATGGAATAGGTGGAACCACTATACAATAAGCTGTTTCCCGAATCACGCATAACATGTACACTTTTCGCAATAGGAGCGTTGCGCAAGAAAAGGAACTGTCGGCAATTCCTCTCCGGCTCA